AGCCTCAGTTTCCCTGTCTGTAAAAGGGCAGGATTGGACTAGCTAGTTCCTTACTGCCCTCACATTCTAAGTCAAATGTCCCTCCAGCTTTGACACTTCGTGTTCTATATTCTCAGGTTCCTTCCAGCCGTATGAGAAGGAAGAGAGAAGAAAGAAGAAGCTGGACTAGCTGTAAAAATTACCATTCTGTGATTAAGCACAGGTAGATTGTGCTGCTCTTGGAGGTGTGTGTGGTGGGACAGTCAGGACAAAAAAATGCCAGTCAGTTTGGAAGGAACTCCTTGCCCTGGAAAAACCCACAAAGTGGTAAAAATTCCTCTGGATAATGGGGAATTGGATGTACTAAGTAAAGATGTAGTTGCACAGGAGCCATGGAAATTAATTGATCAGAAAGGGGAGAAGGGAGAGAGGACAGGGAAAGGGAGGGAGAAGTGAGAAAAAAAGAAAAGAAGAAGAAAGAAGATAGAAAAGGAAAGGGAGATAAGAGAGAAGAAACAAAAGAGAAGAGGATAGAGGAAGGACAGAGGGCTAGGGGAGGGAGAGCATAAAGGACTGAGCAGGAGTTTTATCCTGTGATCCAAAAATCGATTTCTAGGAGTTGTATAAAAATTGCAGCTTTATTTTCAGTAACCTCTAAATAAATTTTAGCATTTTCAACTATTTTAAAATATGATTCTAAGGCAGAGTCCATAGGTCTCACTGACCTCCAAAGGGGTCCATGACACTAAAAAAAAAAAAGTTAAGAAATTCTGGGACAAAGGAAGGAGAGGAGGGGAAAAAGGAAGAATGAGGAGGGAATATGAGAAAAGAGTAGGGAAAGGAAAGAGGTAGAGGGAAAGGAGGAGAGAAGGGGAGGATGGAGAAAAGAGGAGGGAAGGGGAAAGAAGGAGGGAATTATGGAAATGAGGAGAAGGGAAGAAAGGAGTAAGAAAGGAGAAATGGCAATGAAGCAAGAAGGACAGGAGGGGAAGGGGAAGATAAGGGAATTCAGACACTAGCTGGTGTCCTTGGAAGCCATCGCTCCATTAGAGTATAGTGCTTCCGTCTCCAGTAGAAGAGTGAAACATTTTTGCTGCTCATTAGAAAAGGAGCTGACAGATTTCAAAAGCCCCTGAGAAAGCACAGGTTCTTGCTCAACCAGGGAAGATTTTGGACTGTAGATTGCTCTAAGGGTCTGAAAGCTGCATAGAGGGCATGACAGTCTATGCATTGTTTATTGGTGAAGATAAATTTTGAGGGGTTCCTCAGTGATCAGAAATGTTCCAGCAGGATTTTGCTAGGTTCATATCTATACCCTTCTCCCCCTATTACTATAACTCAGAAACCTCTCCTCCTTTGAGGTTTCAATCCATATCTACCACCTAATCAAAATTGGGTAACTGTTATCTACTGACCCCCTAAGACACCCCCCTTCTTTCCTCAATGGGTTCAGTGCTTGGCTTTTCATTTTTCTTTCCTCCTCAACTCCCGTCCTCATAATATGGGACCTCAATGGACATAACCTCATGGCTCTTCATAATATGGGACAGTTCAACATACAGACTGATATGTCTTCAAATATCCTAACCTTAAGAGCCTGTCATTTCACATAACCTACTCCTCCATCCTACCTCAGTCCAAACAAAGATGGCCATACTTTTGACTTTGCCATCACCCACAAATGCACCACTTCTATGTTCATGAACTCTGAATTCTCTTCTCTGATCACAACCTATCATCATTGCACCTCTCCTTCTTTGGAACCCCAAACCCCATTCTTCGTCCATGCTATTACTGTCAATCTCTTGATCCCTCAGTTCTCTCTCAGGCCATCATTCCTACACTAGCTACACTCTCTTCTCTTCCCTATCTTGACTCCTTATTGAAATGCTTTCCTTTTCTCTTAAGTCTGCTGCTCCCTTACCGTATCTTGGGTCTTGCTCTGCCAAACCTTAGCCTTGGCTCATTCCCACCATGTACTGCCTTTGTTCTTACACACATGCTGCTAAACAAAGCTGGAGAAAATCATGAAACTGTGCTTCCTAAGTCCACTAGAAATGTCTTGAATAACCTCAACTGGTCCCTCACTGCTGCAAGGCAATCAATCCTTTTACATCTCCCTATTTGACTCACTTTCCCACTCATCAATAACTCTTCCAAACCTTTTCATCCTTCTTCAAACCTCCCATGGTTCCCTATCTCCCACCCTCTCAGCTGAGAATATTGCCTCATATTTTACTAAAAATAACTGAATCTGTTCACTAAGAGCTCCCTCTACTCTCTTCCTTCTCATCTGGTTTCAACCAAATACTCTCTGCCACTACCTCCTCCTTTACCTCCGATTCACGTGGAGAGGTGGTTCTTCTTTTTGTCAAGGCAAAGCCCACTCACTACATGCACAAGTGATCCCATCTTCTCCAGCAGATTACCCCCTCTATCTTCTCTACTCTCTCACTTATCTCCAACCTTTTACTGTCTACGGGCTCCTTCTATACTGTTGACAAACATACTCATGTCTTTGCCATCTTCAAAAAATCCTCACTTGCTCCATCCATCCCATTTCTCCCTGCTCTTTTGGGCTAAACTCTTTACGAAGGCTGTCTGTAATAGGTGTTTCCATTTCCCTTTCCTTGGGGCAGCTAGGTAACCCAGTGGATAGAGTGCCAGGCCTGGAGTCGAGAAGACTCTTTCTGAGTTCAGATCTGGCCTCAAATACTTGCTAGCTGTGTGACTGAGCAAGTCACTTAATCCTGTTTGCCTCAGTTTCCTCAACTATAAAATGAACTGGGGGAGGAAATGGTGACTCACTCTAATATCTTTGCCAGAAAACCCCGTACAGAGTCATGAAGAGTTGGATGCAACTGAACAACAATAATAGGTGTTTCCACTTCCCTTTCACTGTCTTTTTAATGTTTTACAGTATGGCTTATGACCTCATCATTTAACTGAAATTGCTCTCTCCAAAATTATTGACAATCCCTTAACTGCTAAATCTAATGCCTTTTTCTCAATCCTCATCCTTCTTGACCTTTGATCTTCAGCCTTTGATAGTCACCATCTTCTCCTTGATACTCTCTTCTCTTCACATTTTCAGGACACCACTTTCTCCTGGTTCTTCTCCTACCTATCTAACCATTCCTTCTGGATCTCCTGGGTCTTCATCCAGGTCACATCCACTACTAATCATGGGTGTCCTGCAGGATTCTGTCCTGGGACCTCTCCCTGGATACCATCTCACTTGGTGATCTCATCCGCTCCCATGCCTTCAATTATCATCTCTATGCTGATGACCCTCAAATCCATTTATCCAGGCCTAGCCTCTCTTCTGACTTCCAGAGTCACATCTCCAACTGCCTATTAGGCATTTCAAACTGGATGTCCAGCAGACATCTTAAACTCAACATATTCAAAATTCAACTAATTATTTTCCCCCTAAAACCCTCCCCTCTTCCTAACTTCCTTATTACTACTGAGGGCACCACCATCTTCTCAGACACCTAGGCTCATAACCTAGATGTCGTCCTTAACTCCTCAGTTTCTCCTCACCCCCCCCCATATCCAGTCTGTTGTTAAGGCCTATCCATTTTACCTTTGTAACATCTCTCAAATAAACCCCCTTTTCTTCTCTGACACTGCCACCACCCTTATGCAGGTCTTTATCACCTTATGCCTAGAGTATTGCAATAACCTGCCTGACACAAGCCTCTCCTAACTCCATCTATCCTCCATTCAGCTGTCAAATGGATTCTTCTAAAGTGCAGGTCTGGCTATGTCACTTCCCCCAGTACCTCCACCGCCATGCCACTCCCAACTCAATAAACTCTAGTGGCTCCCTATCATCTCTGGGATCCAATGTAAAATCCTCTGTCATTAAAAGCCCCTTCATAACCTGAGCCCTCCTCCCTCGTCTTCCAGTTTTCTTATACTTTTCACCCACTCCAGCTCCCTGTACTCCTTGATAAAGTGATACTGGCATATTTGTTGCTTCTCTCACAAAACACTCCATCTCCTGACTCGAAGTGTTTTCATCTATCCCCCATGCCTGGACCATTCTCTGTCCTCACCTCTACCTCCTGGCTTCCCTGACTTCCTTCAAACCCTAGCTAAAATCTTACCTTTCTCAATCCCCCTTAATTCTAGTGTCTTCCCTCTTTTATTTCCAATTTATCTTGTATGTAGTTTGTTTGTGTGAAATTGTTTGCATGTTTCCCTCATTAGACTGTGAGCTCCTCAAGGAGCACAGACTTTCACTTTTGTTTTTGTAATAAATGCTTTTTGATTGGTTGACTCATTGAGTAACCTTGGGCAAGTCATTTCCTTTCTTTAGACCTCAGTTTCCTCATCTGTAAAATGGGAAGAGAGGTGGTGGAACTGGGTGATCTCTAAGGATCCTGGTACTTCTAACAGTCTGTGATTGAATGTGAGCCTGGCTTCATCACAATACCAGTTACAATACCACTTAAAGACAAGAGCCAGATGCATCTAGTTCTTTCTCCAGTTGCATTTACAACCAAATTAAAAGTTCCACGTAATTGATTCATAGCTGACATCTTCCACCAGAGAAATCACAGAAACATAGAACTTCAAAGCTGGAAAAGATCTTTGAACACAGAATGTCTGAAAAGGAGGAGACCTTTGAACACAGAATGTCTGAGCTGGCATGGACCTTATGATAGAAAATGTTGGCACTGAAAGAGATCTTAGAGCTGAGGTTCTTTAGTTGGGATCCATGGATAGATTTCATGAGTTTGTGAACTTAGAAATTTAATATTTTAATAATTATATTTCAATATAATTGATTTCCTTTGTAATCCTATGTATTTTACTTTATGCATCTAAAAAATTATTCTAAGACGACATCTATAGGCTTTGCCACATTGCCAAAGGTGTCTGTGATGCAAAAAAAGGTACATAGAATGTCAAAGCTGGAATAGTCTTTGGAACACAGAACATAGAATTTAGAGCAGGGGAAAATGAGGCCCAGAGAAGGGAAAAGATCTGTCCAAGGTTATATAGTGAGTCAATGGCAGAGCTGGGATCTGAACCCAGGTCTCTAGATTCCCAGCCCAGGCCTCTTTAAATTTCTGCTTACCTGGGAACCCATCACAAGATGTCAATACCCATTGTCCTCAACATATATAGTTACTGATAGTGCCAAATGGAAGGTAAGGGACATTTATTCATATCCTTTCTCCCCCTTGGGATTCTTACCTGTACTACATCCAAGAGGAAGATCTGCAGAAAGAAGGAAATAGCATTGCCAGTCAGCTGGTATGGGGCTCCTCCCAGGGCATAGCAGATCTTTCTGGATGTGGGTAGCCGTGGTTTCCCCTGGCACAAACATGAAGATCAGTGAGCATAGGCATTTGCCACCCTCCAGCGCCCCCTTTTCTCACCCCATGCCTCCCAAACACTACAACTCTCTGTTATTCTCTCCTCTCCCCTCCCTAGATCTGTTTGAGCCAACACCTGGCACCACCTCAATATTTCTTCTTCCCAACTGAACTTCTAGCCTGAGAACCCCAAGGCCATGGGAAAAGGCTACGTCACAAGTCTGTGGAAGAAACTAGGGATGTTTAGCAGGGAGAAGAGAGGATGTAGGGAGAACCTGTGGGAGAGGGGATATGTTTTAACTTCCCAGATAAACTGTAATCCCCACCTCCTAGCCCCAGGGACTAGAACCAAAGGGGAAAGAGCATAGTATAATGAAGAAAGCTCTGGCTCTGGAAACTAAGGACTTTGGTTCAAATTCTACCTTGGATGCTCATTATCTATGTGACTTTGAGGAAGTCTGGTAAATGATGTGGTTCTCAATTTCTTCATCCTTAAAATTTAGGTGTTGGACTAAATGGCTGTTGAAGTAGTGAGGTGCTGCATTGAATAGAATGCTGAGCCTGGAGTCAGGAAGGCCTGAGTTCAAATCCAGCCTCAGACACTTACTAGCTGTGTGACCCTGGCCAAGTCACTTAACCTTGTTTGCCTCAGTTTCCTTATCTATAAAATGAGCTGGAAAAGGAAATGGCAAACCACTCTAGTGTCTTTGCCAAGAAAACCCTAAATAGGGTCATGAAGAGTAGGACATTTAAATGACCGAACGACCATGCTAAGTTAGAAGAGAGCAAATTGATTCAATGTAAAGAATTTCTGAACCTTAGAGATATCCAACAGTGGAACTAGCTGCCTTGGGACGCATACTGAAAGCTCTGTCTTTGGAGGTGTTGAAGCCGTCTGTATGAACACTGGCCAGGGGTGAGGTAGAGGTGATTCCTGCTTTAGTTGGGGGTTGAAGTCATTCTCAAGAGCTGGAAAGACTCTCTGAAGTCCCTTCTAACTGGAAGATTATATGACTAACACTTACTGTGTGCCCTTGGGAATATCACTTGCACTTTCTAAGCTTCAGTTTTCTCTTCTGTAAAGGGGAATCATAATCCCAGCTGTTTCCCTCCACAGAGGGGTGCAGAGAGAAAGGGCCCTAGAAGATTGGAACCATAACCTATGTTGTAAATACGAACAGTTCTTGATATTATTGTTATATTCTGGCTGAAGAGGTTCAGTCAGCCAGTGAACATCTATTAAGCACCTTTTATGGGCCAGGCACTATGGGAGAAATAACATAACTGTATGTACAAAGAAGCCACGGACAAGATAAGTTGGAAATAAGCAGGAGTGAAGCAATAGGATTAAGGGGAACAGGGAAACAAAAGCCTTCCTGTACAAGGAGGGATTTTGCCTGGGACTTGAAGGAAGCCAAGGAAGTCAGGAGGTAGAGGCTTTTTCCTGGTAGGAGGCAACTGCTCCGTAACAAGGAGAGGCCCAGCCAACTCAGAGGACGGTGTCCCCTTCCAGGAGAACAAGCAACACCCTGGCCCTTTCAAGGCTCACAGCACAGGGACGCGGTGAGCTGCCTGGCATCACACAGAACTCGAGCTCCCTGCCACTCTGGTTTCCCTAATGACTGCGGGTGTGTGGACATGTGTAAGAGTCCTACTCCTTCTCTCCACCCCACCTGGCACCTCAGCCAACCTCCCTGAGGTGGCCCCGTTTCCTAAGCAGGGAGATGTAGGCCTGAATCAGCTATCTCCACTCCAACCCCTCCTTCTTCACACTCACAGACACATGGCTGAGAAGACTCCTGTGTCTCCTGTATCTGTTCCGTTATCCAATCCTGGCTCATCCGGTCAGGCTGGGCCAGCTTTGTTTGTGAGTGCTCCACAGAAATACACACATGCTCACACACATCCACACAGGGCCCCAGATACATGTGGGCATAAACTTGAAAGCTTTCATAGATGGAGGCAGCTCAGTGTTGTAGAAAAGACATGTGGATTTACATCCCAGTTTTACCATTTACTGTATGACCTTGGTAAAGTTATTTAACCTTTCTTAGCCTCAGTTTCCCCACCTTGGTTGGACTAGATGGTCTCTCACATCCCTTCTAGCTTAGAATATGGAATATATGTATACATACATTTATGATATGATACATATTGTGTGTACATAAACACAAACACAGACTCAGATGGACACAGGACCATACAGTTTGTGCTTGGAAAGAAATTTTAGAGGACTGTAAATGTTTGTTGAATTATATCTAATCCAGCCTCTTCACTTCCCAGATGACAGAGCTGAGGCTCAGCGAAGTGACTTGCCAAAGGCCATCCAAGGAACCAAAGTGGAGTGATTAGAACCCAGCTCTTCTGACTTCCCATCTAGTACACACTCAGGGTTGGTGTGATGTAGTGCACATGGGGCTGCTAGCTTCAGAAGATGGACTCAAATCTCACCTCAAAATGATTGTGTGACCTTGCAAAAGTCAATTAACCTCTTTAAGCCTCAGTTTCTCCATTTGCAAAACAAGGATCATAAAACAACCACCTGTCATCGTTGCTGTGAGCACTAAATGATGTATATAGTTAACATGGAGCAGCTAGGTGACTCAATGGATAGAGTGTTGGGCCTGAAATGAGGAAGACCTGAGTTCAAATCTGACCTCAAATACTTACTAGTTGTGTGACCCTGGCCAAGTCACTTAACCTCTTGCCTCAGTTTCTTCATCTGTGAAGTGAGCTGGAGAAGGAAATGGCAAACCACTCCAGTATCTTTACTAAGAAAACCCCAAATGGGGTCATAAAGAGTTGGACACTACTGAAATGACTGGACAACAAAAGCAACATATTTAATGTAAAAGGTCTTACAAACCTTATAGTGCTATATAAATGTAATTTGTTATTCCTCCTCCTCTTCCTCTTTCCACTCTACTGTGCAGCCTCTTCCATGTAGACATAAAAACACATAAACACATACTTACACATTATAGATATACATGCATGGGCAGCTATACACAAGGATGATGAATAGATATACACACAAGACAGACACACAGACACACACACACACACACACACACACACACACATATATATATATCTTTGTGTACTGATGTACCTTGATGCACATACATGCATATACACACACAATGAATTGATTATGCTTGAATACACACAAGCTTCTTTGCAGCAACATTAAACAGAGACAATGATGAAGACAACATTTATTGGCTTGTTATGTTATAATAGACTAAATATTATAATATTATATATTTAGGCTAAATATTATAAACCTGGTGAGTCCCTTTCCCTGTGCTGGAGACCGGAAAGCTGGGAAGGGGGAAACAAAGGAAAGAAGAAATCAAGCCCTAGTTTTGGAGGAGCTGCTAGTGTTACAGGTAAGCCAGGTCAGGCAGTACAGCCTCTAGGGACTCTCTAAGCCAAGAAAGGATGGGAAAGGAGAAGTCCTGAAAGGCTTTGGGGGCTTCCTGGCGGGGTAAGATAGGACTGTTTTTGAAGGCATCAAGGAGAGAATGAACAGAGTAGACAGAAAGGAGGCTCAGGCCGAAAAGGGATGATGGGAAAATCCACGTCCTCTGCTTCCTTTCACTGTCCCTCAGGTCCAGGCCTTTTTTGGGGCTACAGTTCCATAAGAAGCCGATTCCAGGGAGCTCTTTGGAGAGAGGCTGCACTATCAATCTGGAGACCTGAGTTGGAGTATTGACTCTGCCCTTCTCTCTCTGTGTGAACTTGGCCACTTACCCTCCTTGGGTATGCTTCCTCATCTATAAAGTACAGATAATTAATTCCTCGCAGGACAGTTTTTTGGGCTATAGAAACGTTAATTATTATTGGCAGGAGTAGTATAGAATCTCTGGGTCTTGTTGGTCTATAAAGTTAGGGCGAGGGAGCAGGTGGGGAGAGGCGTAGAGATAATTCTCTTTGCCAACATTGGTCCTACCCCCAATCTTCTCAGGCATCAAGTGACATAGGACACCAGAATATGCCAGAATTCCCCTTTTGGATTTCGTGGAACTGAAGCCTGATCAGATGAAAAATTTACTCTATTGAGCCAGCAATGGGACTGCAAAAAGGACTCCTCCCCTTTCAAATGTGGCTGGGGAAGGGTAGGAGCCTGAGATCTTCTCCAGATAAGTATGGGGTAAACCGCAAAAGAAGCAGAAGGTTTAACTCCGAGGAGCTGGCAAAGGGGGATGTGATCGGCAGCGTCTCTAGTGACACCTTCCCCTGGGCTGGGCTAAGATTCTGTCACCACCTGATGACTTTCAGGATCTCATCTGGCTACTGCCCAGAGATGAAAAATGTTGCCAGTCCATTCCTAGGGAATAGCCATTCCTTCCTTCCCTTTCCCTGGAGAGGGTATCTCAATGCTTCCTGCTTCTCTGGGCGCCCAAATACCTGGGCTCCCTTCCTGCGAACCTCGCGCCTCGCCTTAGAGCCCCCTTGGGAATGGGGTGGTAAGGTTCAAAGAAGTCATTCCCCAGCAGTGCTCTAGGTACTCTGTGCCCCAGATCTTCTCCCTCCTCCAGTCCCCCCATCGGCCTCCTCCAACCGCAGTGGGGAGGGACTCGCTACACATCTCCTCATCGAGGCTGAGTAGCCTCCAGTTTGAGGCGCTAGGGTAGGGAGGGAAGGAGGGCGGAAGCCTGGGAGGGTTGGATGTCTCAGTGTCTCAATCTTACCTGGCCCTCCAGCTTGCGGCCCCCAGAGTCTGGCTCCCCAGGGTTCGCATCCGTCTGGCAGGCAGGCTGCATACTTCCCTCCCCTCTGGGGAGGACTTCCCGGAGGAGGTGGCGGCAAAACAAAAGGAAGGAAAGGCTGGGTGGGCTGGGTAGGCAGGAGCAGTAGCAGGAGCAGCAAAGAACCGGAGAAGAATCGCCGAGGGGAACGGCGAGTAGCAGCTGGGCTCTGGGGGCGCAGGACGCGGCGGCGTGACAATGCCTGCGGAGGCGGGCCGCAAAGATAACTAAGATTACTAGACTCAGGCCCACAGGAGGAGTGGGGAGCAGGGCGGGGCTGTCACTCTCCCACCTCCCCTCTACCCCAGCCCAGTCCCAGCCCTCCCTCTTCCTCCACCGGTTTCAGTTTCCGCCTCGGGTTACTCTGTTCATAACCTGCGAGCAGCTGCCCCGGCGTCCCCAGGAGACCAGGCGGGGCCAGGGCCGGGAGGGGCGGGGGTGGCGGCGGCGAGGAGTGACCCTCTCTCTAATGTAATTGGCTTGGCTCGGCCTTCCCTAAATCTCGGAAGACTGGGATGTGGCGGTGACAGTGGAGGATGAAAGGGAGGTGGGGAGAGGGTAAGGAGGATGGAGAACAGAAGGAAGAGGGAAGGCACCAGAGGTGGAGTGGGGTAAGGAGTGGAAGAAGAAGGAACAGACATGATGAACTAGGGGGCGGAGGAGGAGGAGTGGTGAGAACTGAAGGGAAAAGTATGTTGGTATGTAAAACTTTGGAGTAGGCACCTTGGATCACTTGGGCAGATCTCTCCAGGAACTTTTCCTAACTGACTTCCCATCTTACAACAGGGGAGACTGGAGAGGGGCAGGATTCACCCTGGGCGCAGTGGGCACTGGAGAGAACGCTGCCCTAATAAAGGTTGTGGAGACGGTGTCTCTGGTTCATTCCTGAGTCTCATCACCAACCTCCAGTCTGACCGGATACCAGGGGCCTTAAGACTTATTCAGGAGTTTTGAGACATTTCCCCCCAAGTCCCATCCAAGTTCAAAGATTTCAGAGACCTAGTCCTTGAAGGCTGAGCTTGGGAGACCCTGAATGTTCTTTCAGGGCAAACAAGGAGTCCTTTCAAGGCCCTGTGTGTGGTTGTGTGGCTTGTCCTTCATTCCTGAACAGGACAATGACATCAGCAAGGTGATGACATGACTTGCAATTGACTTTGATTTGAGTGAGTGAGGGAGGGCTGTGCAAAGTCACCAGCCTCACTTTCTCTTCCAGAGCCATCTGGGTCCAGTGGCCAGATATCAGTCAGGACAACTGGAGATGGCCCAGGATGCACTGGGAGACCTTGGCTCTTTTAAGTCTTTCCAGGTTCTCAGTCTGAGTGAGGCAACACCCATTTAGTGAATAGGCCTCTTTAAGAAGTGAGTCAAGGGATGGCCCCTTTAATAAAAAACAAAAACGAAAACCGAAACTGGGAGGGAAAGACCCTTAGGGTTGCTGGCCAGAAATTCTCTGTCTCTCTCTGTCTCTCTCTCTCTGTCTCTCTCTCTCTGTCTCTCTCTCTCTGTCTCTCTCTCTCTCTCTCTCTCTCTCTCTCTCTCTCTCTCTCTCTCTCTCTCTCTCTCTCTTTTCCAAGGATTAGGACCTGAACAGAGCTGGAGGCTGTGGAGTCAGGCCTGGAGTCAGGAAGCTTTGAGTTCAAATCCAGCCTCAGACAGTTATTAGCTGTGTGATCCTAGGCAAATCACTTTAACTTCTGTTTGCTTTCATTTCCTCATCTGTAAAATGGGGGTAATAACAGCCCTCACCTCCCAGGGTTCTTGTGCGGATCAAATGAGACAACAATTGTAAAGCACTTTGCACAATTCCTGTTACATAGTAAGCGATAGAATAATGTCAGTTGTTGTTGTTATGCTTCCTTCCTTCCCTAGGACTTCTCTCAGGCCTTCTGGCGTGTTCAAGGGCCTGATTCCTGTGCCTGAGAAAACAGGAGAAAAAAACGCTTCAATTTTCAAAAGGATATGTACCATGAATGTAATGCACTATCACTGTGCTAAGTAATACTTAGAATCTATTGCTGTGATGAATATGGAGAAACACAGACTTACATAAACAGAGTGAAGTAAGCAGAACCAAGAAAATAATATATACAATGACTAACAATGTGAATAGAAAGAACTTCAACCAAAAAATATTCAAAACTGAATGTTGTGAAGAACTTTGTAATCAAAGAATAAGCATGGTCCCAAAGAAGAGTTAGGAAAAGACACATCCCCTGCTTCCTCCCTCCTTTGCTGAGGTAGGAAGTCCACAGGTGTGGAACATTGCATGTAATATTCAGATTTCTTTTTTTTTGGGGGGGGAGGGCTAGGCAATGGGGTTAAGTGACTTACCCAGGGTCACATAGCTAGTAAGTGTCAAGTGTCTGAGCCTGGATTTGAACTCAAGTCCTCCTGACTCCTGGGCTGGTGTTCTATCCATTGAACCAGCTAGCTGCCCCAATATTCAGATTTCTTTCAATGTTTTGCTGGAGCTAGGGCTATTTGGTTGCAGTAAGAATCAGGATTAGGACCACCTGGGTTAAGTGAGCTGTCATCTCGTAGAGGACAGTGGGCCTCACTCTTTGGAACCTGATAGATCTGATGTCCTTCATGGACTATCTGACCACGTCAACGCTGTCTCCACTGCCTTATCTCTCCAGGATTTGTCGTAGTTCATCCTTCATTTAGCCTAACTTGGGCTGTAGTGGCAGTAGCAGCCATAATAAGCAGCAAATGACAAGCATCAAGCAGCTAGCAGGGTGTCCTGGTGATGATGGGAGGTAGGACAGTGAGGAGCTCCTGCTGTACTAGGCTACCTGGCAGAGTTTTCAAAGTATTTTACATTCATTATTTTATTTGATTCTCATAACTCAATGAGATGTAGGGAAGGAGGCAGCATGGTAATAGAAAGAACACTGGGCACAGAGAGACCTGGGTTCAGACCCTGACTGCCTCTTGTAGGCTATGTAACCATAGGCAAATCACTTTCTTCTCTAGACTTCAGTTTCTTCATTTGTAAAATGAAAGCATTACAGTAGATGCTTTCTAAGGTCCCCTCCCTGCTCTTGTGGTTTATAAAAGTGTATTATTATGCCCAATTTACAGATGAAGAATTCAAGCCTTATAAAGGGACTTGCCTAAGGTCTTACAGTAAATTAAAATGCTTGGACTCAAACCTAGGTCTTCTGACTTGAGTGTTATTTCCACTGTATAATTGCTATCTTTTGGTGTACAGCACCCCTCTTGCCCCAAATACTACCCATTTTACCAGTTACGGTGCCTTGAATTTCATCACTGAAGTTTTATTTCTTTGGGTCTAGAACAGGGGCTTTATTTTTAGAGTGTGCCTTGGTAGATTGGCATCCAAATTTTGTACTTATTTTTAAATTTATTTTTAACATTCTTTTTTGAAAATTTTGAGTTCCAAATTCTCTACCTTTAGCCCCTTCCCTTCCCACTGAGAAGGTAAGCAATATGACATTAATTATACATGTGTAATCATGCAAAATACATTTCCGTATTAGCATGTCACAAAAAGCAAGAAAAATAAGAAAAGTGAGAAAATTATACTTCAATTTGCCCTTAGAAGAATACGGGCTCCTAACCTTCTTTGTGTTATGGATCCCTTTGACAACCTGATGAAGCCTATGGATCTCTCTAAATAATTTTTTTAAATGCATAAAATAAAATACACAAGATTTCATAGGAAATTAATTATATTGAAATGAAGGTATGAGTTTTTTCCATTCAATTTTATGGACCCCCTGAAATCTGTTCATGGGCCCTAGGTTAAGAATTTGTGGTCTAAACAGTCTTTTTGCAAATACCTCTGAAAAGTGGCAGAGTCCATATTATAGAATCATGAAAGGTCAATGGTGGAGGTGATGCAGTTTGGGGTGCTGCGAACCCTAAAATGTAAGGGTACAAAGTGAGTCTGCCTGGAAAGAATTCAACCACTTAAGCCTTCTTTCAGTCAAAGTAGCAGGTTTATTGTGACACCAACAGAAGAAGGCAAAGATTCCTAGTGAGTCTTCAACAAAGACAGTGAGAAGTTCTGGATGGGATTAAGGAGTAGTAAATAGGCAGGTGAAGAGAGGAAAGGAGTTAAGTGGTCAGAGAGCCACAATGAAATGGCTGTTAAAAGGATTATTGAGTATCTAGGTGGGCTGGGATGGGTTAGATGACTTGGGAGAAATGCCAGTTATCTGGGCTGCTGAAATGTATGGGGAAAGTTCAGGGACTGGGCTGCTTTCAAAGACACGGTCTTTTCCTTTTAGGGGTCCAGATCCCCATTAGAGGAATCTATGAAAGTACTATAGAATGTCAGAGTTGGAAGATACCTTAAAACCTAAATTAGAGAATGTTAGAGTTGGAAGGGACTTTAGAGGTTATTTAATGCAGCACTATTCCAGAAAAAGAAACTGAGTCCCAGAGAGGTAAACATCTTATTGAAGATCACACAGCCAGTTAGCCCTTATCAGCTAATGTTTTGGGGGAATATTTCTCTGTGAGATCAGTTTTCATCTGTGACAGACACTGATAGTTGGAATGGGTAAGAGTTTAGGTGTGGGGCTGACCTCTGTAGCATTGCATACTTGATAGAGCCTTGGGAATTAGGAAGAACTGAATTCAAATCCCACTCAGAAGCTTATTTCTGTATTACCTAGGGCAAGTTATTCAATTTCTTTGGGCCTCACTTGCCTTATCTGTAAAAATGAAAGGGCTGTATTTGATGACTTCAAAGGTCGGTTCAATCTCAAAAGTTCAGCTCAAGTATTATCTCCTATGAGAGATATTTGTTACTCCCCTCCATTGTAAGAGTTCCCTCCACAAAATTATTTTGTATTTA